AAGATGGTCGCCAGAGTTCAGAAGTTTGGTGTCGAATACAGACTGAGGGCGCCGACCCACCTAACCGTCCGAAGACCCTCTGCAACAGTCCGGTATCTGAAAAAGATCCGGAAGTCGTAGTTCTAAAGCCACTTACTTGCAATTGATCCTGCATCAACAACAACAACTACTACCGGGGTGAAAACATAGTTTTGCAGTAAAAAGACGTGACGTCCGCTCGGGGTATTGAATTGTTTGTCTTTTAGAGTCACTGTATTTGCTTCCATCTAAAGGGTCGAGATCGATAAAAAAGATTTTTACGATCAACTTACTGGATTCCCGTTATTCCTTACGACCAATTCAAAGCGCGCACTCGTAAGGCTGACTCATCGTCCATAACATGTCTAGTTTACGTTGTTTTTCTGAAAACCATTGTTAATTCCGGGATGTTATTCTCACGAACTTCGACTTGTAAAACCAGCGATGACAAGTGATCGCATACACGTACACTGTGTGGTTCTCATGGACTTCCAGTATTTTTCTCAGCTGGTAATATGTTGTGTTGACTTTCTTTAGGCTCAATATGAACGCTGGCAGCCTAGAGCCCGTTGCAAGCAGTGTCTTGACCCTACTTTGGACGACGTAAAGAAACTCTGCACAAGCCTTCGACGCAACGCCAAAGAAGACCGAATCCTCTTTCATTACAATGGGCATGGCGTCCCTCGTCCAACTGAAAATGGCGAAATTTGGGTGTTCAATAAGGTACTATTCTGCGCCTTCGTCGTTATTTTAAGTGGGGATGGTTACCTACGCACTTGAATTGCTTTTATTTTTTTCCAGACCTTTACAAAGTACATTCCACTGTCGCTCTACGATCTCCAGCGATGGCTTGGCGGACCATCTGTCTACGTACTCGACTGTCAAAATGCTGGTCGGGTGATTAAACTTTACGACATTTTCTGCCAACGTCGGAAGGCCGAGGTGTGTGTCTTGCTCTCCTTGTAAAATTTTTATTCTTCGTTTTCCAAACAGTGAACATTACTTCCCTAAATTTATCGCATTCTAAGCCGTCCTATAATTTTGAATATCTCTATCTGCTTACTGACTCCCAGAAGATAACTTAGAGGAATTTCGCTAAGATTCATGCCGTGAACCCACCGCCACTCCCGATAGTTATCTCCACCCAGGGAAGCAGCTAGTTTCTAGTAAGGAAGGTCTGCAAAACATAAGCATCACCCAAAATCCCACTTATGGTTGACATCGCATCGTCCTTATCTATCTGTGCTGCACAACTACCGATCCACTATTGCCTGCAAAACAGACTGCTCACTGAGCTTTCATTCTGGTAAAAGGTAAATTAAGACCCCATTGAAAGGAAGCCACTATTACGTGTTTCGGTGATGAGAAACCCCACTTTCTCATCAACCGACAGTCTTCTAAGCCACCACTGTTAGCGCGTCACCATAGTTTCCAAGCGCTGGATCCTAAATTGGTCGAGCTCACTGCCCTGTTTCCCCATGCACTAATTTACCGTTCGACTACTGAGTATAACATTGGCCGCAGCGGCCCTCGAGACGTGCAGTCGCCTTCTGACGTAATATACATAGGGTCATATCTCACAGAAGTTATAGGTATCGCAAAAAACGTAGTGGGAAGGAGTCATTCCAAGTGGGCACTCACCTCAAAGGAGGAATGAGCCATTCTATCATTTGGAAACTTTCCACACAATGACTTAACGGTTGTTAGTCGATCTTAAGCTTGTTCGTTAGGCCGTAACTAGAAAGGGTCGTGCCAGATTGGCATCAATGGTTTCTCTATCTGCCACCAGAAGTTTGAGTCAGACCGATTATGAATGAGCTCGGT